TTGATGTTATTATTAATATTATTATTATTCACCATCAGCTGCTGAAACCAGTTGTAATGACTTCTCTAATGCCTCTGCTGAGAGCAATTGACCCAGAACGGACTAGGATTTAATCTCAAGGCCTGTTTGGTCTAGCACTGATCGAGTGGTGCCTTTTTCCACCAGGCTATCAACAGAACTTTGGACTTTATGTTCTGGTCACCATTTCTAAAGTTTCTCCTTTAGAAATTTTACCCACTTTGCCGATGGCTTGGTGGGGCAAAGGTACTATTATCTAAAGTATTTCAAGTACTTTATAATAATCCTTGCATTTGATATAGCACATTATCACGTCTTCAAGACGTCTCAAAGCGCTTCACAGAATAGACTGTAAAGTGATTGACTGTATATTTTGTGGTCAAATTATTATCATTATTTCAAGGGACTATTATCCCCGAAAAAACAGGAATCGACTAACAACCGGGTTCCTACTTACTGCTAGGTAAACAGAGGCATGTGGAGTAAGGAAGCTTCCCCAACGTTTTGTCCTGCTGGGGAACATCTTTAACAACTTTAACATCTTAAAGGTGTTACTTTGGTACCAGGAGAAGGCTCATTCCATCTCAACATTGCAACATCATCCTCGATTTCTGCACCATTAAATCTCAAATCCTCGGGACGTCCTCCCGAAGGGAAAGGCACTACTCAAGTGTAATTTGCATTGTATTGTAAATCCGAACGCAAATAGCATGAAGCCTATCCAGAGGAAGATGAGGGGGACATTATAGATGATTTCAGACCTCCTTTCAGACTTCTGATAGCATTTCGATTTTGTGCCCGTTTTATTTTCAGGCAAAGTGACACTTTAGTAGAAATAAACTGCTGGATCGGGCTTTATTGTATAAACGGTGTTGTGACTTGGTGACTTCACTGTCTACATAAGAAAATGTAAAGAAACCAAAGCAGGGAGCTGAGGCACTCTGGATTGTCACAGAAACTAGCACAAGATAAATGTCATATGTGAGTGTTTGCTGAAGCATGAGAGGGCCTGTTTTGTTCCTGGTTGTTTTTCTGATGTGACTGAAACTCATCGCCTGCCCTCGCACACAGTCTTCCTTTCTCTGTGCCTCTTAAGCTGTTGACTTTAATTACAGCCTTCTTAAACAGAAAGGGACATGTTATGAGCGGAGGAGGACTATTCCGATTGAGCTCGATGTTCTGTAAGTGTAGCCTGACAAGAATTCACCCCAAAATACTTTGCATGTTCTCCAGGCACTTTGTTCAAAGGAAAAAAACTCCAGTCTAGACAATGCCAAGGAGCCAGGTGTAGCGCTGAGCATGTCTGTCAAGTCTGGAGGCTTCATCATTGCCCATTCCTTGTAGGGGCTGATTTTGAAGGCTGACAGCCAGGTTTCTTTGGTAGCGGCGTTTTAACAAGGGAAGATTCCCTGACCTTGTGGACCTGGGATGTCAGCCTTCAGACTCATTCTGTGCAGAAGCTTTTTGCTAAGTAAATTCTGTGAATAACCCTTCATCCTGCGAGAGCGGGAGCCCAGTGAAGCAGCAAATGCGAATATTTTTGCACAGCTTAGAACACAAGACGCAGCTTTCATTTGGCTGACAAACGAAGCTGCTGTGCAGACCCCCTCAAAGGCATATAATCCACCTCAGCCAGCCTGGGGTGGGTGGGGGGTGGTGGGTGGGTGGGTGGGGGGCAACTTAATCTACCACAGTGCAGCTATTTAGACGTTCACACTGACTGACAGACAGTATCGCTGGGCACAGGCACCAGCATGAATTCCTCCCACTTTACTCTGTGTGTACTTTGGCTCCCGAAATAGCAATCATGACACAGCTCAGGACTGAACTGGTTTCTGGGTGTGGAGTGCATGGATGGAGATTAAGCTTCGAAGAAATCAATCTATTTGTACTTGGAACCCAACTGCAGAGCTTACCTGTGCTCTTCACACGATGGAGGTGCCATTTTGGCAACGCCATCTGGGCAGATCCGACTGCTTTTAACGGCGGATGATATTGACCAGGAAACATAGGATGGGTGTTCTGGAAGGATGAGATTGGATGGGCTGAAGGGTCTTCTTCATCCAAACAATCTGGTGATCTTGCAACTCCTCCATTGCCGTTGGACCTTCCAAACAGCTGGACCCACTGTTTTGAACAAACGCTTTCAAAATAAATGCCAACATGAACAGAGTTTTAAGATTTGACCCTGAAAGGATGTTGAAGTTTAAACTTAATTAGTTCTGTTTGATTTAAAAAGAGATGCAGATGGCCAGACTCTCGAATCCAGTTGTGCGTACGTTCAGTTTTAATTGGTGGGGTGAGGACGTGGGCAGTTCAAAAGTTCGATAGAAACAGAGCACGATGGACTGAATTAATTGGACAAAAGGACAACACGTTTGCAGTTGAAGTGATTCATCTTCTCACGGTACTCGCCGAACGTATTGGGATTCTGTTCCCTGATATCAGATTGAAATTGGTATTTTTTTCCCCTAACAGCGCTCGGTGCATTCAGACACCTTTCGTGCTGTTGGATTTCCATTCCGCACAGTTAACAAATTGCTGGAACATTACCTAGTGTAGGTCAGACGCATAATAAGGCAATGCTGACTGTGAAATTATACATGGAAGCTTTTTTTCCGTAACGTACACCCGAGATGTTATACATTCCTAAATATCAATTGCATGTTATCGGTTGCAAAGTTTACAGCGGGTGTGCATTGATGATTAATCTTCAAAGTGAAGTTCATTGAATTCTTCAGCTGACAGCATCTACTGTCTCTGCATTTAAAACAGAATGAATAAAAGCCAACGCGTTAAGTTTTAAGAACATATTCTAAAAATAATAGATGCCCTGGACTGATTTTGAGAATATAATCATCGATCGCTGCCTTGTAATGACTGCTGGATATTTATTATTCGACATTCGTTGGAAGTGTGAAGTCTTGAAACGCAGCTGATGTGAGCGGTACAGTACTTTTGTGGAGCAAAACTTTGGTGCCTCAGCACCACTGGTGCCGTAGAAAGGAGCAATAGGAATCTCTTCACTTCCTGGGATTCCTTGTATGGCGCCTTGTCTCCAAACACGCTCATCACCTTCGCTGTCTCTCCAGGCTCGAGTCTTCAATGTGGACTTCATTGTGCATCAGTGACAACAATGTTATCTGCAACCTTGAAGAAACAGCAAATATTGTGGGCACATCCAGAGGGTGGGCAACTCAGAGGCTCGTTTTATGATAGATGGGATCAGATGGCACTAGAGGCCTTATTTGAGCCCAGAAAACTGAGAATCTGACAGATATGGTGCAGACAGAACTTCTTGTTATAACAGTGGGAAAGTGGAATGGTTCCATAGAGGAAGGATTATTTGCCTTTGTTGATCGGAATTAGAATTAGAGGAGAAAAGTGAGCCAAAGTGACCAGCTTACTCTTCGGGAGAGTTACCAGGAGCACCATGTAGTTGGAAGGGAGTTGGAAAGGGAGATTCATGGGAATGCTAAGAAAAAAACCTTGGCAAGGGATCAACGGGGGAAGTGGGGGGAGTGATGACGGAGGGAGGAAGGGAGGACGACAGTTTAATAAAAGACAGAGCGGAAAGGAAGCCTGAGAAATTAATATAATTGGTAGTTTACAGCAGGGCAAGTTTCCAGTAAAACAAGAGGGAACAGTTTCAGAGTTGTAAGGGGAAATTTCAGGACAGGCAATAAGGAAGCATTTCTTTACATAGAGGGAAATCAATGACTGGGCTGCTCAAACGGGTGGGTGGGCCTGGGATTCGGGGTGGATGGTGGGATGGGTGTTCTGGGCAGATGGGGTCAGATTAGCTGAAGGGCCTTTCTCAACTGCAACATCCTTGTGATCTCGCGAACCGCCTCCCTGCCCGACCCCTGCAGAATCGTAAGCCACAATGGCGATGTGCTACGACTTGTAAGATTGGGTCCATTCTCAACTCACCTCAGCTCGGTCAAGGGGCTCCCTGTGCAGAATTCGCTGCTGACGTGAGAAACACATATTGATCTAGAGGGTTAACGTTTTATGGCCAGACCAGACCAGACCGTGCGTGCGTTCCTCTTGACAAACCAGAGGCAATTTAAAAGGTTTCCCATACAAGTTGTCTTTGAGCTCTTGGAATTACTGGCATCTCATTAACACCCTGTTTGTCTGGAACAGGCGACAATGATCTGCCCTAATCATTAGCTCTGATCTCCTGCCCCATTTATCCAATCAGTAATTTCCGTCGGATTAGTTTTGTCTTTCGGTGCTTTTTCTCTCGTCTTTTGAGAGAAACAGTGTAATCGCTACTAAGGTTTTATTGCCATGAACCACTAATGAAGTACATTCCCCACTTTGAAAGTGTCAGAACTCCATTATCTCACGCTTGTATACGCGACAGATAAAAATGTCAAACTGTGCTAATTAATGGTGTCTGTTTATTTACTGCAAAGTGCTTTGATTTTCCCCTGTGTAGTTTTTCTTGTGATAAGATATTTATCTTTCATCCCTTGAGATACCAGCTCTGTTTGCATTCCGAGTGCTTCTGCCTTATTTTGGACGGCAACCACGAAAACCCATGTCTGCGTGTTGCATTGAGAAACATTCTTTAATCTTAGTGGAGTAAATGAGAAGCCGGGTTCTGATGATGCATTATTTCCTTTGCTATTCGCTTTCAAAGTTATTCTTGGGGAAAGTGCAGTGAAGCACAAATTGAGCACCAGCCTCCTTCCTCTTCATGGGTGTTAGAAAGATCAGCCCTGAGCACCAGTGAATCATTGGCCCTGAGTTTGAGTAGGTTGGGGGAGAGCAAAGAGTCCAGTGAATGCAAACCACAGGTTCTTGCCTTGCACTCTCGGGATTCTGTTCTGCCGTACAGCTAAAGGATTTTTTTTCCCCCCCTCCGTCCACTTCATTGTGCTCATCTACACCTTTTCATTTGTTGAACGTCTTTGCTTCTCGTGCACTTGTTTAGACGCTTAATCAATAACCTTTATCATTTGCTTTAATAGAACCAATGATCAACTGGTGACTTTCTTGTCAAGATACAGGGATATGAACTTCCTGAAGTCTCACGGCAGGGACAATGCGAGGTACAGTATTTTCATAGTTTTACTGCTAACTAAACCAGTCACTCTCGATGCTTCTCGTTACAGTGGAACACAGTTGATCCACATGTCCGTTTTTTCAGATAAATCTCTGAAGTGGATGTTGGACCCGGGCCTGTGTGAGATACCGACAGAAATACTTCATAGTTTCCCCAAAAAGCGTTAGGGTTAGGTTTAGGGTTTAGGGTTATCATACTGTCATACTATGATGTCATGCAAGCAATATCAATAATGTGTGTGTGGATGGGCGCACTTAATAATACAATACAAAATATGAAAAAAAATTTGATTTGTGTAGCGTCTTTCATGTCGGGAGAATGTCCCAGAACATTGTTATGATCTGGAATACACTGCCTGAGAGCGTGTTGGAAAACCTCACCAAAAGGGACAATTACATTGCCGGTGGAAGCAGATTTGATAGTAGCTTTCAAAGGAGAATTGGATAGGTACTTGAAAAGGAAAATTCGTAGCGCTAAGAGAGGGGTAAGAGCGAGAGAGTGGGACTTGTTGGGCACGGGCGAGATGGGCCGAATGATCTCCTTCTGTGCTGTAAGATTCGGTAATTCTATGATTTCCTAAACTTGAGTTTCCCCTTAATGGATTTTGTTGCTCTTAAATGTGATGTCATTTAAACTGTAGCAGACGCTGTGTATTGAAGTGCGTGGGTCTCCGTAAATTACAAGTGAAATGTGAAAGTGTGATTACATGCGTGAGTCTATGTGCAGTGCCAAGCGAGACACTGCGAAAGTATGTTCGAAAATTGATAAGCGAGAATCATCAAAGGATCTTTTAGATTCCCCAGTGTAATGTTTTACCAGTGTGCATGTAGGTAGATAATTAATATTTAATCTCCCGCGGAGAGAACCTTGCTGCTTTCTTTTTGAGTTCTTTCATTAAATACACAAGCTAAATCCAATTTTTGCTCCGGCACTGAAATGATAATTAACATTCCAACAAAATTCTCATCCAATGATCCTATTTATTGGGCTGTGGTGGAATCTCGCCTCTGCCAATTCTCGTATTGTCACAAAATCGTTGCTAAACATTTTTACGCTTTGCAAACCCGATTTCCAGCCAAATGTGAATTGTGGCATCTGAACTCAATTTGCTAATTTTCACAGTTTCCCATGAGCCCTATCGATTGTACCTTCTGCTGGTTGTGTTTCTAATCAGCTGCTAAATCTGTTTGCAGTTTGCTCAGAGTAGATCATTTAGACCAAATACTTCTATTTGGTTTCAGTGACTTAGAAACAAAGAAACCTACGACACGGTAGGAGACCATTAAGTGTCCGTAGTTGCCTCGGCAATCTGTCCTCTCCTACCTTTCCTTTGCCTGTGCTTATTAAATTCCCTTTTAAATGCCCACAAACAATTCTCCATCAGCTATCACTTAAACTGGAATAATAATCCTTGCGTTTGACTTTGTACCTTTCACATCAGGGGGATGTCTCAAATTGCTTCACAGGATTTACTTCAAAGGTGTAGTGAGCTCGTGCAGCAATGTTTTGGAGTGTCAGCCTAGACGGTGAGTTCACAGTCTAGTTCTCAGAGGCGAGAGTGCCACCAGACTGATCCTTTGTATTCCAGATAGAATCCACCGTCACAGTGGGTTGTCTGAAACCCGTTATCAAATCAAGTGAAAAACTACACGTTGCCTTCCTCAGCTGAACGACACAAGCAGGCTGCAGCAGGGTGTCGCTATTTAAACACATTAAACACTGACATGGTTGACAACTTCTGGAAACATGAAATCATTTTTGTTTGTGGGGGTGGGGGGGAAGATTCCGCAGCGCCATAGAAGCAATTCAAGGAAACATTTCAGATCAGGATAAAATGAATTTTAAGAAACTATTGACTCGTAAAGCCATTGGAAAGAATTTGCAACGGTTGTGTGGTTTTAATGTTTTAATGATAGAATTCTGCTCATCTTAGGACGTGATAACCGATACTATTGTTCCTAGTTTTTTGATTAAATTACTCCACTGGTGGTTTGTGACAGTACTGGACAAAGCTCTGAACAGCACAGAATAAGAGTCAAGTGGGTTCAATCTTCATGTTGGGACTTTGAGCTCATAGTCTAAGCTGGCACTCCAGTGAGGTCCTGGTGGGTGAGTCAGACACTGCATTGTCCTTCGGGTTGAGGTGTTAAAACTGAGTCGTTCGGGTGGTTCTCGCTGTTCAGATGGTCGTCAAAGATCCCGTGGCTCTATTCGACAAAGAGAAGGGATTTTCTCTCTCCCAGTGTCCTGGCCAACAATCCCCCAAATATAATCGCCCGTTCACTTGTTCTGGCGAAGGGTCGTGGACTCGAAACGTTGCCTCGCTTTCCTTTCTCCATAGATGCTGCCTGATCTGCTGAGTGTTCCCAGAGACTTTGTTTCGCTCTTTTTGTTTCACTTCAAGTTGTTGTTTGTTGGACGTCGCTGTGTGCAAATTGACTGGCACGTTCTCCGACAAATACGCAGTCACTACACTTAAATCCAGTAAATCCCATGAAAACCCTTTCATCGACCCGATAAGGCATTATCGCAAAAGTAAGGATTACAATATTATTGTGTTGTGCAGGAACTTCCTGAAGGCGGATGTAACATTTTATGGAACAAAACTGCTGATAAACCTAAAAACAGGAGAAAGCCACAGAATGGGTTTTGTTGCTTCTGATTTACTTCCGTTTCACCCAGGCAGCCAATAAAAAGTCAATAAAAGAAATCAATCCACGCCTCTGCTTCATCCCATCTCCCCCGCCCTGCCACAAATTGCTCGTTAAAATTCATTCTCATTCGTTCCTACACCAAGCGCAGAATATGACATTGGCGAGAAGAGGTAAGCGGTGCTCCTGAGATCTCCTCAGCTGTTCGTAACCGACACAGTCTCTCTCACCAGTGGAAATATTCTCCCTGCATCAAATCTAGGCCGTGACCCTATCTTTTATTTTAACGCGGCTGAAACTACCGCACACGAAAGAGATGCTTTTAAAAATACCTTTTAGTTTTAGAGAATCACTGTGAGTCAGGCTGGACACGAAAACTGCGGATTGCAGCGTTCGAAACCTCGCAAGCTTTCAGTACGTCGTGTCTGAGAAACGTACAAAAACTAGTGAAAATAGGCTTCAAAAAAGCCTAACAGATTACCAGCTGGCACCAGGCTCCCATGGTTTTCATTTTTATTAACCAGGCTGGCTGGAACAGGAAGGCAAAGGTTAGCATTTATGAGAGTAGGGCGGAGAGAGAAGAAAGCACCCATAACTGTGCGTAATTAGAGTCTGTAAAAAAACCCACTGGTATACCAATAATAAATAGTTTTTCTCTGACGAAAGGCTGGTGATTTGGGAATAATAATAATAATAATAATCCTTGCATTTGGTCTAGCAACTTTCACGCCAGGGAGATGTTTCAAACCGCTTCACAGGAGTCACTGCAAAGTGCAGGGACTGTGGCAAAAATCAGCAAATGTTTGTCATACTGGAAGCTCAGCCCATTTTTGGGATCCAATACAAAAGCAAGAATAGGACTGCAGGAGGGAAAGCTTCGTTAATCAGTTTTAAAAAAAATTCATTAGTTGTGAGACCGAGAATTGCCATCAGAAAAGGTAAGTCACTGACAAAGCAAAACTCTGCAGTTCCGATTAAGTTTGTGTTGAATGGGGTTATAAAGCTGTTTGAGAACACAAACAATGGTGTAAACTTTTACCCTACTAAATAATAATAATAATGATAATCCTTGAATTTGACACAGCGCCTTATCACATCGTTGAGATGTCTCAAAGCGCTTCACAGAATATACGGTCAAGTGAATTAACCGTGTATTTTGTGGGTGAAACGCAGCAGCATAACACCAGAGAGGGAGGGAGACACATTGTTTTGAAAGTGAGACAATCTTGGAAATGTCCCCGTCCTGTAGAAGGGGCACAGTTGGTTCCGATTGTAACTACACAAGAAACTTTCCAAAGGATATGATTCACGTTGCATTGAAACAAGCGAGGCTTGCTGTGGTTCCTTTTTTTTTCACATATTGTGCAATAATCCCGTGAACTCCAGATTGGTGTCCTTCCCCCGTTAATCTCCCGAATTGTCGGGCATTTACCTCCGATGTGGCTTTACTGAGAAAAATGTGGGTTCAACGTATGTCTTTCGTAGCTTCTGATGCACTTAGCGAAGAAGACAAACGGCTCTTTTTATTTTTTTCCTCTTGCGTTCATTAAAATTTCATTTGCAGCTGAAATCCAGGGGACACCAATTGCATCGTTGAGCTGCCCCAGGAGCCGAGTCGATTAACTCACCAGATCAGAACGTTTCTCTGTCGCCTTGCTGCGTCCCGACTTGTAGCGCGGCGCCCGTACGTAGCTCTCCGATCGCTGCCAAGCTCGATCCTTCAACCCGGTAACCTTTCTGCTCTGCCCTCAGGTTCATCCGCAAGCAAGGCTTGGACCGGATTTTCTTCGAGTGCGACACGCACATGTGGCGGCTTGGAGACCGTAAAATCCCGGAGGGGGTCACGGTGGACGGTGGCTCGGACTGGTTCCTCCTCAACAGGAAGTTTATGGAATACGTGACGTACTCGGAAGATGAGCTTGTGAGCCACATGAAGCGGTTTTACGCCTACACCCTGCTGCCAGCCGAGGTACAACGACTGTGTACTTCGTAGGCAAACGTCTGCCGTGCTTCAACCCGGTTCAATAGCTCGGCCCATTCTCGGGACGAATAGGACTAAATCTCGGCCCTTTTGGCCAACATCAAGCGTAGTGCCTGTTCCTTGGGCAGTGCACCTGGCTCCCTCTTAGAGGTTCGGATCGTGTAAGGATGCCAAATGAACGGATTTCCAAAAGCAAGTGGGCCCCAGAGGCGTGTTTAAAGAGAGTAGCGTTTCCTACCTCCAATTCAATGTAGAAATAGTTGCATTTTTTAAAAAAATGACTGTGAAAAGACCAAGCTCATTCGCGTATCTAATTGGATAAATCCTTTGAATTTTTGCCAAGGCCCCGGAATATTTTGCACACTTCTGTTTCACTCCCCAAAGGCTCGGTGTTTAAACAGATTAAATCCCTGGGTAAATGCATTCCAAAAGGACCTGCTGCTTTTCACTCTTTCAACCCCGCAGCAGTTTTTTTCTTAAATGCCGCGTTTAAATACTGGGCTAATGTTTTACTTCAAAGCCTTGATGCTTTTTGTGGGTGGTGTGTGTGTGTTTTTTTTTGAGGCTTGTCAAATGTCTCCAGTGAGCACAGTCACAGAAAAAGGACGTTGTTTTTTTTGGTTTCCCAGAGAGCATCTCAACATTGTTCCAGTTTCATGTTGAAACGACAAGCTCCTGAAGTAACTGCGCTCCTGGTATCACTTCTGCTTTTCTCTCGAAGGCGTGTCATGAAACCGTGGTGGTTTTCTGACAACCACTTGTAATTTAATGTAACCTCAGAAATTTGAATTACTGTAAGCGTACGCTTTATGTCAAAGCTGTCATCTCTTTCGCCCCCGCCCCTGCCGTCTGTGCCTGGAATGGGATTCCCTCCCACTTCATTAAAACCCCGGCCGGGGTTGATACAATCATTGCAGAATCACCGCTGACCCCTCATCTCCAATGTGATAAAAAGACCTGGCTTGGGTAGTCATTGCTACATTCAAACACGGTAGACTTTCCAATCCTACGCAGTTGCCGTTTGTGCTGGAGAATATTCAGGCTTTGCGTTCTCTTTGAAAGGGCCACGTCTGGTGGTGTTCACCTGCAGTGTTAACCGGACTAAATAAGTGCCGCAAAGTCTGATTTTGCTTTATCAGCATTGATTTTTTTCTACTATCATACAAGTTCACGTTATAGCGATTCACCAGGTTCTCGGGCACCTCCGGCAGATTGTACTTGTCACGAATGAGATTTTGTTATTCATTTATGCTGATGCCTTTAAGTATCATCTCCCTTTTCGTTCCCACTTGTCTATAATTTCCTTTGCGGATTCCTTCTTTAAGCAGACTTGGGGCCCTTTCCTTCAATACAATTGCCTCTGTGTCACACAATGTTTGTTGGGGGAGGGGGGAGAGAAGAAAAATGTCGCCTTCTCACACCTCTTAAAGGCTTAAAGAAGGAATACGCAAAGGAAATTATCATGCACGACAAAGTAAAGGTAAAGGCATTGCCTCTTTTAAGGCTGTTTTTAAATCATAAATGAAGGCAAAGGTTAAGCATATAGGGGGAGGGAGGGAGGTGCTTGGGGGGGACACTATCTTCTAAAGCATAAAAACAGGGGAAACATAAGCTCTACACATCTGTTTATCAACATTTTCACTGCCACATAAGCTGGAAACTGTGCTGAAGACAGACGTGCGCCCTGCAGAGGTCAAAACTTCCAAGCTGAAACTGAAATGAATTGCGTTTCACGTTTTTTTGCATAACTTGAGTAAGACTTACGGAAGAAAAGTACAATTGCTAACACATTGTGCCATTAATGCGTAATGAGGCACCAGCTTATTTGGCTGCTTCCTCTTTGGACACATTACTGTAGTGAAACTGCTGACCGAGGCTCTGGTCTGCCAAAGGCAGGCTGGAGAGGGAGGTAGAAGGAGAAGGTCCCACTCTGTTAAAAGAACTTAGGAGAAAGCCCGATTTCAAAATGAAGATTATATCTAAGAAGTCGCTAAATTCTGGATAATAATAATAATGATAATAATAGTTATCCCTGCATTTGTGATAGCGCCTCATCACGTCCTTGAGATGTCTCAAAGCGCTTCGGGAGATACTCTGTAAAGTGGATTGACTGAAATTTCGTGGACGAAATGCTAATAAAAGAGTAACACTAGACCAGGATGGAATTTCTCACCCAATGTGAATCTGGTCCAAGCTAAGCGTTAGCCAAAACGTGGCAGCTCACTGTAGGTGCCAGGTTAATCCTGAGAACTTAGGCGCACAGCCGATCAACTGGCTTCAGAAGTGGGCAGGCTCGTTATCCACATGCATTTCACAAAATATTTATTTACGCCTTTCCTGTCGTAAATTACTATTTGATTCTTACCTCCATGCCATTATCTCGCTTCGCACTTATGGTCCATTAATAAAGAACACAATAGGCAATAGATAATTGGCTATGTTCTGTTCGCTCGGGTGAAAATCTGTGTTTGCTTGAGTTTAGCCAAGGCTGTTCATGTGTAAACTCCATACTCACTGGCCTGTCATTTGATTTCAAAGAGGGGTTGGGTGCATTATTTAGGGGTCATCTAGCATGTAATTTAAACATAGATCTCAGAGTTATTTGAAAAAGCTTTGGTCAGTATTTGAAGACTGACAGCTAATACGGTTTAATATGATCCAATACTAGCAATTTTGGTGTAACCACGCTGCATGTTCCATTAAACTCAATAAGAAGGAGATTGATCAGAAGTTGGACTCGCTGCTCTGTGACCTGATCTCCGGTTGATGTGCAGTCATGTAGGCATCGCAACTGCATGAATCAAAAGTAATTAAAGTTCTTCCACTACAGCTGCCATCTTGCCTTAAATAAGGATGACTGCTGGAAAATGATGGATGGACTTTCTAAGTGGTCATAGTTTAAACATAGGCAGACCATCTGTTTGAGGGCTGTCTTTATGCATCACTTACTGCCTTGAAACCACCAAATATCAAAGTGCTGCAAAGCTGTTTTGTTTAACGTTTGTATAGTCCTTTCGCTCGCATCTCAAAAATGCTGGATATTATTGGCTATAAAGATGCTATAAAGTAGGTTTTTGCATTGCGGCTGAAGTCTTTCACTTTGCTAATGTCTCATTTTACCTCTCTGTTACAGTCCTTCTTTCACACCGTGTTGGAGAACAGCCACATGTGTGACACCATGGTGGACAATAACCTGCGGATTACCAACTGGAACCGGAAACTGGGCTGTAAATGTCAGTACAAGCACATCGTAGACTGGTGTGGCTGCTCCCCCAATGACTTCAAACCGCAGGATTTCCATCGTTTCCAGGTGGGTTCACAGTTACCAACAAACACGGCCGTTTGTTATTCAAGCAAAGGATCTGAAGTTTGATAAAGCGATCCAACGTGGAGATGGTCCAGTCAAACATGGGCTTGGATCAGAGACAGCGAAATAGGCTGCTGGATTTGTGTTTCAGATGCCAGAATGTTTTACTGTATGTACACAACACTAAATCCAATACTCAGACAGGAAGATAAGTCGCAGTTCTCCCAGAATTAGCATTAGGTATTTTACAACAAAACCTGTGTATTGTTTCAGAGGTTGATGACTATGGTCGTTTGTTTTTTTTATTCCAATCTAATCTTCTTGCCAGCGAAGTCTGTCCTTTATAGCTATACGATTTTTTTCGGCTCTGAGTATGTTATATATGTTGATATGGTGCCTGTAATGGCAAAATATCTCCAAGCTCTCCACAGGGCTTTTACTGTAAAGTGCAGTGACTGTGTATTTGCAGGCGAACCCTGCAGTCAATGTGCGCACAGCAGCATCCCACAAACAGTCATCGAGGGAATGAACAATTTTATGTTTGGTGTTGATGGCCAGGGCACCAGGAGAAACTTCATTCTCTTTTCAAATAGACTTTAAAGATCCCCAAGGGCGGACGGGACCATTTTGTTTACAGGACGTATGAAAAGCTAATGTGGGGCAGAGTGCTGTGGACTGAAGTTCATTGGTTCTGTGTTTACAAGCGCAATAATGTTGCAACAGGCCTTCCTAATCCTTTGTAGAGTTATTCCATGTGTGCAGCTTCACTATAATTTTAACTAAGGAATGGTTGTATAGTTGTTATCAGAATATTTATTACCTCTCTCTCTCTTCAACCTCCACCACCTCCCCACCAAAAAGCGGATGTTGACTGGTTGAAGATCCAGCTCATTAGTAAATAACTTTCACTCTTGCCAGCTAATTGGTACCAGCAGGACTTCGGCTTCAGTGACTAACAGTCTCGGCAGGAAACTGAGACTGTGAGTTACTCTTGTCACAAAGATGAGTGGAAGCATTTCCTTTAGCTTAAGGGTCTAGTAAAACCATACCAACTGCATTCTCTGGGCTGTAATTGGTGAACTGTTGCCCTTCGGGGAAACCAGAGGTGACCCAGTGAGTGCAAATTCAACTAGTTTGTTGCTTAGGTAACCCTTGGATCAAGTTTGTACTCATCACTCTGGGCTTCCAGGAGGAATCATATGTGTGACGATGTAAACCAATTTATTTTTGTGGGGTTTTTGTTTTAGCTTTAAACATGAAACAGTGGCCCTGTATAGTTTAGCATCGGCGGAGAGGGGAAAGAGATAAATAGGGTCTCTTTGGAACTGAGGTGGTTCAAGTTGACATGCCTAGCAAAGGAAGATCGCAATTAAGTCGATCCTCTGTGGCGACCTTAGTAGTAGAGTTCCTGAACCAGCCGAGTCTATAGACAGACAGTGTTCACAAAGGCGTGGTTTTAGCTGCTTAAACACCAGCAGTTACCCCATCGTACTCTCTTATGTCCTTAATCTTTGTCTCAGCTATTGCCAGCCTGCACCTAATACCTTCCAGGATAATGTAAGCAGGGTATGCCCCTCTAGTAAGAGAATGCACACTTTATTCCAGACAAAAAGACATTTTGATGCGTAGGTAGCATGCATTCATTTGTATATACCTTAAGCATGGTGATGGATTTCCACGTGTGTTAAACATCCAATTGGCCCAAATCAAAACTAGCTCAGTATGAAACTAGTCACCAACGAGAGCAAGAGGGTCCTCAGGACCTCCTGGATTTCTGTAAGGACGTGCTCTCATTTCCGTTCTGTACCCAATGGAAGAGAAAAACGTAGCTGTTTTAATCTGCGTTGAGTTGACAGTGACGTGCCTGCAACCATTGCACAACAGAAATTGAGGAACTATCAGCGAGAGAAGTGCCACAAATAATAATCCTATACCAATCGTTTTGCATTGGCAATCCATCTGCTTCCCATTGAGAAATCAAGATTTCAGCACAACTGTGACAAACACTTCCACTTTAGTTAAGGATAGTTTACAGCTAATTGTGGGAAATTCAGGAGGGAAAATATGTGGGGGTGGGGGGGTTGGTGGGGGGGTGAGGGGGCCTATAACAAACTTTTAACTGCTTAAAAATATAAAATATGAAATCTTAAAATATTAAATCAACCACAAAAACTCCTGTTGCTCATTGCAAGCTGGTAAACGTTCTTAGTTATTGGCAAGGATAAAGTTCTTAGTTATTGGCAAGGATATGCATGGTGTGTGATGGTACACCGTATATTTAGTTGATGGTAAATATATCTTATACAGTAAAGCATATTACCCAATACTACTGTATTTAGTAATATGCACCCATTGTGTTTGCTCACCTAATCCTTTCCTGGTGACTAGCGGAACGCAAAATTTGCCACTGTCCAGAGATGTTATAGTAACGATTTCTCCTCGTCCACACAGCAAACTGCAAGACCGACTTTCTTTGCTCGCAAGTTCGAGGCTGCGGTCAACCAGGAGATCGTCGGCCAGCTGGACTTCTACCTGTTCGGCAATTACCCGGCCGGCACCACGGCCCTCAAAGCCTACTGGGAAAACGCGTACGACGAGCCGGACGGTGTCCACAGCACCAGCGACATCGCTCTGACCATGTATCACTCCTTCGCTCGCCTCGGCCTCAAGCGAACAGTAGCCTCCAGCCACACTAACAAAGAGGTCAACTGCAGGTATCAGTGATGATGATAATAATAATAATCCTTGCATTTGATACAGGGCCTTATCACGTCTTCGAGACTCAAAGCGCTTCACAGAATACACTGTAAGGTGAATTGACTGTATATTTTGTTTTGAACGTGTGACGATTCTGATCGCCACTTGGTGTCTAGCTAATAGGAGAGCCCAGCACACTCTGGGCTGTCTCACGCTTAGTAACCAGAGCTCAGACTGTTTCATAGCAACTGACAGACTCCCCACCACCATAACGTGCTGCCTTCAGTTCATTTTCCAGCTAATCCCAAACGTTTTAATGGTTTGATTCTCTGTCACAAACTCAGTGCCCTGAGCACGGTCAAGATCTTCTCGACTGTCTTGACTCAGCTCAGGCACCTGCCCAGACAATATTAACACTCCAGGATCGAGTACCTTCTCATAGAGAAGTCACAGTTCCAAGGCTTATGTTGTAATTATGAAGATTGAATGAGTCGGTGGTTCTCCACTGAATTGTAATTAACAGAGATCACGGATATTTCCAGAGAGATCGTAGATGGACAGTCAGGGATTTGTACTCGAGCTGGGGGTTGAGATCAGGAGGGGTCGGGGTAGGAGGGTGACCGAAGGCGCTGGGAGGGTGGAGGGCAGGGAGTTTAGGCTCTGAAGGCTCGGTCGAAGAGGAGCGTTTTAACGCGTCACACACACAGCAGCTGGTGGAGGGAACACTAGGCTGGCTCACGGCCATGATAACTGGTAGCCAGAATGAAATTTGGTGCCTTGGTGATTGTAAAATTGGAATCCAACTTTTATACAGTTAAAGTTCTACTAAACCCCTTGGTCTTGTATAGAGACGATTGCAAGATTAGAAAGATGAGACCTGTACAGACATGTGGCAATCATTAGGCTCATTTACCTGTCCTTTCCTGCACTGCTGTTCAGTCCATCCAGCAGTGATATCTGATACTCTGCAAACCTTGTGAGTGTTTATACTTTTGGCCTAGAAAGTGCAATCCTGGACATTATTGCCACTCGATCTGTCCATTATTTGAGTTGTGATGGGAAGGGAGAGAGAGAGATAGCGAGGGAGAGAGAGCGAACGTCAGCTGTTTTTTCAGGCTGCTTTTGTTACAACAATCTAGTAGATTGTTTGCCCGCTCACTTACTCTCACAATAAATGAAATCCTTTTAGTTTAAGCAGCAAATCCTCCCATCCGGGGAAAAAAAAATCACCTTCTCACTGCTTTAAAAAAAACAGTGGGGCATTGGTTATTGTGGACAGCCTTTGATTTAATCTCGTGCACAGTGCGTTTAAATTGCACTTCAGTTTGAAATCGATGGAGCTCATCAGCTCATTTCTCCCCAGAGCCAGGGAATTGGTGCTGTCTACATGTGTCTTTAATTTATTGCTTTAATTCAAATTCTCATTACCTAGGATTTCTGGCTTCGGACAAAAAAAAGCACAATTCTGACTTGTGACGAGACAAAATTCACTTCCCGGTACTCGATGATGTGCGGGCCGGAGGTGGGGGGGGGGGCAACAACAACAACGACTTGCATTTCTGTAACGCCTTTCATCCCACTCGGCATCTCAGAGCGCTGGGGCCCAATTTGAATGAATAAGGCATGACAACAGTGGATTTCCCACACCCTTCGCTTGGCCCGGCTGTTCTCTGCAGAGCTTCCTAAGTCAAAGTCCGAGCCGTTTACGTGCCATCGTAGCTGGAACCGGTTAACGATAAAGAGGTAGAACAAAGGGGTTTTCCTTTCTTTAGAAGCAGCTTCTAACAAGCTTCGTGGCTTTTCCATTGCACTCGGGGTCTGTGCGCTCAAGTCCTGAATGTGTTAGGAACCACTCTTTGGAAACACAACATTTTGCCGTTTACACTCATAAAAAAAATCCGTCTGCCGCATTCTTTCGTAGTTAACCTTTGTTTTTCTCTCCTTCTCTCCCAATTTACTGTTTTTTCTAGATATTACCCTATGGGTCACCCAGTCTCTGTTCACTTCTACTTCTACGCTGACCGTTTTCAGGGCTATCTGGTGAGACACCATGCGACAAACCTGGCTACAAGCAAACTGGAAACGCTGGAGACTTGGGTGATGCCCAGAAAGATGTTTAAGATTTCGAATCCGTCCAGCGACTTCACACGGCTGCAGTTTGCTGAGGTAAAGAAAACGAGGCTGAAACCATCTTGTCTTCCTTACCTGCCTTTCTCTGCACAAATCGGCTGCCTCATTGACTACACGTTATACATCCAATACACTTTACAGTGAACCCTGTGGAGCAATTTGAGACACCTCCCGCTATATCAAGTGCAATAATTATTTTATTAGATGCATTATTATTATGATGTTTATTATTATTATTATTAGGATTATTTGTTCTGTGTTATCAAACTGCTGAAGTTGCCATCCGGGACTTTCAAAATTAATTTCGATTTGATTTGATTCAACAAATTTAATTTGCACTCCGCACTTTCGCAGCCCAGGGTTCTCTGGCAAAACTTAAGTTTCCGATTGAAGACTTTGGGTGTTACCTTCACTCCAGTTGCGGTTCAAGCCCACGTGAAGCCGAAATAACACAGAAGTAATTTTATCTGGGGGTGGGAGGGGGATAATTGTCGGCCAGGACACCAGGAGAAAAGCACACACATGCACAGAGAAACTCGGAAGGAGATCCCACTCAGAGGGCTTAATTGAGGAATCCTGTTTGAAACCGCTGCCTTTCAGACTGCCAACAAGTCCGAATTTTGAGGGAAGCCACATGTCTCCTTACTCTGCGCTGAGTCAGAATGGGCGCAGTTACGAGACAGAGCCACACCAGCCTTTACACACACCTGCTGGGGCTATCACCTTGAACAGCGCTACTCACTGCAGCCAGCCTGCAGATATATCCACAGCGCTTGGGAAAATAACCAGCCACAATCACAGGCGGCTTTCCCTCTTTCATTGTGGAAACGTGAAGCATTGCGCCGCAGGAGTGAGTACAAAAGGGAGTGTGGAAATTGCCATTAAAGTGCCTGCCCAGCGGGACCTGCGAATCGGTGCCAATCTACGAATTTGTTTCTAAGCGCCCGCAGAAGTTGCTGGCGTGCGTGGAATTTGGCCAAAGTGCACGGAATAATTAATTGCTCCTTGCCTTCAAGAAATTGTGCCGCTGACTTTAAAAAAGTATATCAATCCCTGCATTTCGTAACGCGTCTTTCGTGGGGGAGAGCGTGAGGGGAGACATCTCAAAGCACCTCGCAGGATTCGCTGTAAAGTGGAACGGCTGTGTATTTTGTAGCCGAAAACAGCAGCCAATTTGCGCAATAAGTGATTAATTGTATCTGTAGGATTGTTGGCTAGGACATTGGGAAAAACTCCCTTAAATTTTGGAATAGTTCCATGGAGTCTTTACCGTCCAACTGAACAGGCAGATGGGATCTCAGTTCAACGTCTAATCCTATAACGGCTTAAACCCACAACCCGCTGTCTCGCGGACGGACGAGCGAGCGAGCGAGCTCTCCACCGAGCAGGGCCGACACCGTTTAAACGCAAATTCTTCGAGCTCTTGCATTTTGGCACGCCATCGCACACAGATAAAACAGAAAAGTCTCTTTCTTCCCTGTGTGTGGATCGTGAGGCGGTGAGAAAGTTGCCCAATAAGCGGGCAGGACCCTTTTCACCTGGTAGTTCTTTAGGCGGTGTTGAATGGGGTTTCGGACACCTTTTGGTGACAGGACAGCCAAACCGCATTGTTGGAGCAGTAATGTTTTAAAGCTCCCTCTTATTAGCTTGTTCCTTTTCAATTACATTTTTTTTNAAAGTACAATTGCCTGACATCTTTTGAATCTGCGGGGGGAAAAAAATTGGCTGGTTGGATTTTATAGTAAACAGCTGTAAGCCCTTAACTGCCAGTGGGAGATGGCTCAGCTTAAACCCACTCCTTCCTTGGCAGCTTTTTTTCCACCTCCTGTGATCGCCTGTCCCTGCGTGCAAGAATGTAAGAATATCTCGCTGTTTCACATCAGCAGCAAAGTGAGAGCCAAAATTTCTAATTTCGAGCAGCGCGTGGGATCATTAATGTCTACTTAAACAGGCAGACGGGACCTTAGTTTAACGTGTCATCCCTCCGAAGGACGGAACCTCCAGCAATGCAGAGCTTTCTCTCTCTCTCTCTCTCCCCCCGCCCACCCCCACCCCCAGCACTACACTGGACTATCAGCCGAGACCAGGAGAGTTCCAAGTCCTGGTTATCGTGTGGTTTGAACCCGTTGCTCACTGATCCGCAGCCCTACAACCTGGGAGCATGTCGCAAAGCTTTCCAACTTTTCCACAATTAGTAAAAGCTCTGTGAAGTTTCCGCTTGACGCGCGGGTTGTTAATGTGTGAGGGCGCCTGGGTTGCCCCTGACGGCCGAAGTTGCCGTGGCCAGATGCTGACGTGTCTGTGGCTGGTCCCAGTCAATGTCCCAGTGGGTGGGGTGGGGGGTTGCGGGAAGGTAGACAATCATCAGCGAGTTGGCAGTCGAAAGAGCACTGTTCAGAAGAATCGAGGCAGCAGAAACCGAATAATTTAAACGAGTTACATTTAAGGCGAAAGCTTAAAAAGGAAACTGCGGAACACTCTCACTCCGCCTTCCTTGCCCCTTCCTTCCCCGTCTTCAGGTCACGCCTGAAGACCTTCCCATTCAACCGTGCGTATGGTCGTCTCGCCCCACCCCCGGCACCCCTCCACCCCTGGCTCAGAGTCATGTTCCGCTGCTGTCTCTGGACGCTGCCCTGCGTGAGGTGCGCTACGTAAAGACAAGCTGTTGTTGGGGAGACACGTACCATTGGCCTCGCCACGCGCCAAGGTGTTTTGACTCGCTTCTCCCTCAAGCCACTTGCCCCCTCTCACCATTTCACGTACCGTTTCAGATCGGCACGGAGTGGGACGCCAAAGAGAGAATATTCCGGAACTTTGGCGGCCTCATCGGGCCCATGGACGAGCCCATCGCCATGCAGAAGTGGGGCAAGGGGCCCAATGCCACGGTCACGGTGGTGTGGATCGACCCCGTGAACGTCATCGCGGCGACCTACGACATTCAGATCGAGTCGGGGGCGGAGTTCACGCATTACAAGCCTCCCCTCAACCTGCCTCTGCGCCCAGGGCTCTGGACGGTTAAGATGCTGCACCGCTGGGCTCCCGTGGCTGAGACAAGGTTCCTGGTGGCTCCACTGACCTTCTCAAACAGGCAGCCGATCAGACAGGGTGAGTGGTGGCCTGTTAACATCTAACCACGCTACTCAGCCCGGTGGCGCTGTGTGTGCGCGCGCGTGTATGCGTGTGTGAGAGCGAGGAGACTTGCTGCCTTGCAGACGGTGCAGCGTTTAGAATAAGACGCAGACGAAGGCTCAACTCCACACATTGTCTTCCTGTCTCAGAAAAGCTTAAGGAGCACTGGGAAGAGCCTCAGTGTGCTGTAAGGGAGCTGTTTGAGGTGGAGGTTAAGACAATGGTGTAAGGCAACATTGATCACACCCAGTGCTTAATATTGGGCAGCAACCCTAAGCGTAAAGACGTCAACAACACCACCAACAACGTGCATTTGCATTTCCCTCGTGTGGAGGGAAGTAAATGCTTCTAATGGCAGTTTCCCTATTATCGGAAAACTGCGCCACGTGTAATCAACCAAATTATCTGCAGAGAGGCAGCAAAGCCATACCTTCTAATGAGCAACAGATACCTGAACTTTAGCAAGTCAGGTGCTTCGAGACATCCTCCCGACCCGAAAGGCTCTGTATAAACGTAAATGCTATTGTATTGAACAAAGTAACTCCTGAACTTCCGCCTGGTCAAAGCCACTTTGTAAGACCATTTTGTCTTAAGATGCAAGATTGCCCAGAATTGTGTGTGGGTGGGGTGGGGGTGGGGGTGAGGGGTGGGGGGTGTGGAGGATGAATTCAACCACCGTTTAGAAACCGGATTTTTTCCCAGTTGTTGAAATGAACTTTCGTTTTCGAATTCGGATGGTGTTCAGAAATGTTCTGCAGTTTCGGGTGATCTTAAAAGAAAACTTAAAGCAAAGTGGCGTGAGAGGCTCAGATACAGCGGGATTTCAGAGCCCGATATAATCTGAATGCTAGACACTTGCTGAATGGCGAGAGGGAGACACAGCTGAATTGTTTCACTAACCTTCGTTGTTTGCTTTGAAATGTTCCGACTCGAAGACAAGGATCCAACAGATGCTTCTGTCGCGCAGCGCAAATGAGGTTTTTTTTGTGTGTGTTTTAAAAAAAAAACATTTATTGAATGAACCGTTTTCGTTTGCTTGGTACGAACTGCTGCATTATTGAATAACAATCCCAGCTCGTTTCACAAATGCTATTTATAATCTCGCCTGCCTTATTTGACTTTTAAAGGTAGCCTTGTTTATCTTTTCTGCTTCACGGTTGTCAATTTGAGCCCAGAGTGTAACACAGCTAATTTATTTGGCTTCGCTGTTTCAATCACCCAAAGCTTTGAAGCTGCAGAAATCAGCACAGGTGGCGGAGAACAAAATAGTTGTTGGCAGAGATGAAATATCAGCCAACGGGGTCAAGACTGCAGGCGAGAGGGATTGGCTTCTTTGTAGAGAATGTTTCAAGTTTAGAAGCCAAAGAAGAGAGAGTTAAAGTTCAGAATCGGTTGTAACTTTAATTTTGCAGCTGCAGAATCGTTAGATTTTTAATGATAACTCGGGTTATTATCCCTAAATCCCAGCAGTTTAAAACCAGGCTCCACGTTTTGTCAGCGGGATTTTATTTCTCGCTCCGGTCTATATTGAGGTGACCGTAGATGAGCAGCTAAACTTTGCCTTAGGTCGAGCTCGTGTGTCCCCAAAGATCGGCTGTATTAGTAAGTCAGTGATACAGCGTTGTCAAGGTATCTCAAAGCACTTCACAGAATTAAGTACTTAGAAGAGTGGGGACTTGCAAGATCGGCAAATGTAGTAGGGAATCTGCACCAGCAAATAACCCACAAACACCAACGCGATAAAGGACCAATCCGCCCACCGCCCATTTTAATATCTCACCCGTTTAGGACGGCACCTCTACCAGTGCAGCGCACCCCCAATATTGCGCCGCATTTCAGCCCCAATTTGTGAGCTCGAATCCTAGCGTGGGGGGGGGGGGCTCAGGAATGAGCACCCTCTGATCCATAGGCAATTCTGCAACCGACTGAGACTAACTCCAGAAAAAGCTGCAGGAGTTTCGCCCACAAAATATTCGGGTCAATTCACTTTATGGTATATTCTGTGAAGCGCTGTGACACGTCTCGAAGACGTGATGCGAGGATTATAATTATTATTATTACATTGTCAGAATCGATCACAATATTCAGATTTGACCGGAAGCTGAGATCCCAAAGTGTCCAGCTCTTTCGCCTTGCGATCAGTGCCAAAAGCAACGGCTCCCAAGGAAAACACGGACTCCATTCCCAACCCAAGCTTGCAGCTTACTCTCTCCTGTATTGCACTGCCATCTAGTGCACGCACTTGAGAGGGAGGGTCTGGCAGGTTCAGAAAGAGGGTGGGGGGAGGGGAAGAGATTATTAATGTTAGGTTAGAAAGGTTCGAGTAGGAATGCAGCACAGTTGTGTGAGTGAGTGTCTGAAAAATGACCAGCGGTTCAAAAGGCAGTAGTGGGAGAGCCTGAAACTTGATGCCGGCATTAGCACTATGGGAACGGAGAGAAATACGCAGTGGCCTGGGGGAGGAGAGCAGTGAAGTTGGTGGGGGTGGGGGGTGAAGGGGATGGGTGAGCGGGGCGGGTGGTTGCAGAGCACAGTAGACAAAGGATACGGCAGAAAGGTTGGAGCGTTTTGCATTGAGGCAGTTTGGTTTTAAAGGTCTACGTTTGACTGACCAGCTGGTGGAATAACAGATCTCACCAACACAGCAGAACCCCAAACCCTTAGCAAACTGCATTTTCACTTTGATAAGAATCTCCATTACTTTTCAGTAAAACAAGCAGCCGAAATGTACGATTGTTAGTTAACGGTTCCCGTGTTAACTCAATAACGTGCAAACCCAAACAGATGGGTGATCTCAGGAGCTGACCTGCTGTACTTCCCAGTAATAACTGGAATCATAGCAAGCCTGGACCTGAGTGGGGTTCAGTGTCCTGGGGTTGCGCGTGGCAAAAGGTTTCCTTGAACTGCAGCTTCCTAGAGCAGGTGAACAGAAATCTTGACGTGACGACGAGTTATTTTAAGTGCAAGAGTCGTCAAACGCCTCTTGTTGTGTTACTAAAGCATTTAATGTACTGTACATTCTGAATCCCTTTCAAGCAGCGCTGTCGAAATAACTGTTTGCAGATGTCTTGGTGAACCCCCTCTCCGTTTTCTCTCTGTTTCCCAGAGGAAGCACTTAAGTTGCACAGCGGTCCACCCAAGAATGCGTACATGGAGCAGAGCTTCCAGGCACTGAACAACGCCTTGAACATACATATCAACCCAGGCCAAGTGGAAGAGGCCAAACACAAAGCAGGACTCACGGGCTCCCAGCTGGAGAATTGGGTGGATTCCATGGTGAACAGCTTGTGGTCAGCTGTGGACATATGCGCCAGTGGCCCCACCTCCTGCCCAGTCACGCAGACCTGCAGCCAGACTACCTGGAGTTCGCTCAGCCCCGACCCCAAATCGGAACTGGGTCCCGTCAAACCCGACGGCCGTTTGAGGTAGCACCTAATACACACCCCCCCCCACCCCCGAGACGTTCGTAAGACACAAAAAACTGCTGGCTGGTGGGGCTCGAGTGGCTGCGGCTGGCTCTTATTTTTAGTTCTTAGCAGCAGTTCCAAAAAAAAAAGCGCCTTCACAGAACTGTGGCTAAACTAGAGCAGGTGCATTTCAATTCAAAAGGCCGTGATATTCACAGAGCAGCATTGTCAGCTGTGCTGGCAATGCCCAAGGGGCCATCGCGTCAACATGGTGAACATTTAGAAGGAAAATTTAGCACTCGTTATTTATTTAAACCGTTTTAGTCAGTGACTAATGTGTAGATGCTGCTTTTGCAGCTTGTTGTTCTCACTATAATCCAATTACTAATCTGCCTTTATTAACAAAGGCATGCACCCAAACATCCTGCCTTCTCTTTCTGTACCTAGCATAGAGGTCTGTAGAATTTTTAAAGGGTACGTCAACAGGACTATTTAAATCTGAGGATACTTATTGCACCTACTGTACAAAGGAGAGACAACCACCTGAAATGGGTCGTGATGCACTTTGCTAAAAAAAAAACCCCAGTGCTATTGGCACTAACTATTTCAAGTACGCAGCAGAGGTTGATCTGTTCTGAGTATTATTTTGCAGTCAGATCTCAACAAAGTACTTAGAAAACGACATGTTTAAAAAAAAGACTAAATCCTCAATATATTAGCAACCCCACCCCCAAGTAATTGCTTGTGTTTATTACGGGCAGAATTTTAGATTGTATTTTGATACCTTTTTGAATTCGAATCCTCTGCGATGCCACGTTTTGTTTTTAGAGAAATAGCTCATCGTGTCCAGTATTTGCAAAAAAAAAAGAAATCTATACAGTGTATGGCACTTTCAACACAGAACAAAACCAAATGTCTTGACTTCAAAGAATCCCTGCGCTTTACAGACACCTCTGTGAAGCGCTTTGAGGGGGTTTGGATGTGATAAGACGCTGCATCAAATGCAAGGATTACTAATACTGTATTAACCCAACGGTCCATTATTAAGTGGGGCTGAAAATGCGGATTCTGTAATGAAACATTGCAATGTGTCGATTACTATTAAGACATCACTTATGATGCCATCTCTTCTTGTCCCTTCCTGCGATTTGTGTGGCAGTCATTCTTTGATTCGAATAGGGACAGACTGGGGGTTGCTAATTGTATTGAATTTTCCAGGGTTTGGTAATTGTTCTGTGCCATAAGCATCTCTTTGTTCTCTGCAAGTAAAGCCCCTCTATATGTCTGAATTGCTTCCCCTGTTACATCAGGGCAGTCCTGCCAGTACCCGCTCCTATTTACTTTATCCCTTAGGACGAATTTGCTCACTCAAGACAACACCCTGAACATAAGGCCCCCCCCCCCCAATCCTTTTCCTTTCCCCCCCCCACCCACCTACCACGAACTACACTCCACTCATCCCCAATTTTAACTTGAAGGAATAAAGTCGGTCAGCGATCCTAGCGGTATTTCTGTCGAAAAGTAATTTCAGATCAAATGTTCCCTAAATCTCATTTTTCTTCCAAGAATTTCTCAGCTGAAGTCTCCCTGTTCTGAGAGTGCCCGTCTCCGTCGAATGCAACTTCTCAGGATCAGCCTTTGGCGGTTTTTGATACTGATCCTGTTGAATCTCACTGCTCTCATCACTTACGTCCTAATAAAACCTGTATGGGCAGAGCGTCCTATAATTGGCTGTAGACTTTGAAACAAATGATAAAAGAAACACAATAATTATGGTACTTGATTGTTTTTTTTGTTTGTAGGATATTACTAATTTTATCATAAATGTTAAATACTATGATGGAAAACACTTGTTAGGATGGTCGAACCACTCCTTCCTAAGAGTTCTCTATTACAGGCGATCTGGAGTGAAAGGTGATCTGCTGTTTCCATAGTTCCCACCAAGGTCAAATCAAATGAAGGAATCAGGTTATGGTTTGGCATTCAGAGGAACAACAATTTCGGGATCAGAAGGGCTTATCCTTGTTCTGAAATACAGTGCCACCCGCGGTTACAGAAGTACACAACAAAGCCCAGCTGAGTGGGCAGCCCTTTTGCCTCTAGGTCAGACGTTTGTGGGTTCAAATCCCGCATCAGGCGCTTGGAGCTCACAGTATGAGCTGACCATCCATTGCAATGCTGGGGGAGCACTGCATTGTTGGAAAGGCCATCCTTCTGGTGGAGACGTTAAACCTCTCTGTTCAGGTGGACGGTTAATATGTATAAACACATATTACGGCTGCGCCGATGACGAACTGTGCGAGAGGGGAAAAAAAGGCTTGGAAATGCAGCTAATTGATCTTTACCAACAAAAGGCGACCGTTTCTTATTTTAGCTTCAAGCATTCCCGCCTGCCGAGGGTTGAATACTGACCTGACGCAACGTTTTATAACCTCACCACTCTAGAGCAAACTGCCTATCCCGAGGCTTAGGGGCTGGGAGTTCAAGCCATTGAGAGACGTGCGTCATGTACTTGCACAACGGGGGACAGCTTATCTGAACGCGGTGAGCCAAATGCCTGAGTTGGACAAGTACATTTCACAGCTCAATGCATCTCCCCAGCAACCTCATCCCAAGCTTGTCAACCAGTTGTTTTCTATTTAATGGGAGAAATTCACCGATCTGCCCCTGTGCCCCATAAAAATTCTATCTGCTTGTCGACGGCCAAATAACAATCATCTTAAAGTTATTAGCTCAATGCCTTCCCTTCTGAGCTCGGGGGTGTTGCCAAAGGTGCTATCTCACTGTGTAGGGGAGCATGACATTGCAGGTACCAGAACTGTCTTTGAGCCTATTTCACCTGAGCTGAATGTATGATCTATGCAAACTGTTCCTTGTTGTCATAGCTCAACAGAATTGACCAACCTTGCCATGTCAACTGCAAGATACTGTACAGAAGCCTCTGATGACAGAGCCGAACATTTAGGTGCTGTTCACTGCGCCGTATTTGTAAATTTTCATGTGTTTGTTTGACAGACTTTTGTTCAGTCACAATTAGATCGATTGTTACCCGAACGCAACCTTAAGGGTCTTTGTATTATTTAAGGAAACAACTGTTAAACGTCGCCAAATGTGTGGATGTCGGAATGTCCCGGTATTGGCTTAATTTCTTCACCTCACTGGTTGAGCAAACCATTGACAAATGATTGAGATTACCCCCTCTCCTTGTTTTAAAAAGACTGATTTTCAGGAATAAAAGGCTATTTTGTTATGGAGAATAATATGCATATTAAAAACAATGCTTGTGTAAAAAAAAAGTAAGCTGAAATTTAACAATGTGTGTATGTATATATATATATATACACAATGAAAGTAAGATTTGTTCCAATATACAGCACATTACAAGATGTAGATATTTTGTTATTTATTTAAAGTAATAAAATATTTTTATTTGTTTGTTTAAAATTGACCCATTTAACTCCACGTTCAAAAAGCCAGTGAAAGAAATTCCTGTCTGTAGAATGTTATAATTCAGCAAATCTTGCACTACCTGTTTTTGCACCCACTTGCCCTTCTTTTAGCAGAATTACAAACAGAAATTGTGCCTTAGCTGTCTTCTTGCCTGAGGAAGTCTGCTTCTGTCTGACAACCACGTTTTTTGCAGATTGTCAACGGTTGTACTAAATGCTGTATCATACCAAAAAAAAAACGAAAAAAAACTGCTGTTGTATATAGATGCCTTCTGTCAGATTGTGTTTTTTTGATTGCAGAATTTTAAAAATACACCCCCCAAAAAAAAAAAAAATTGTACGTCTGGTGCGTTTTCTTTGCGAATATTTTTTTCTCTCTCCCACCACATTTCCAGTTCGTTACTGCTTCCTCCGCTGCGATCGGGGTCTGTGACATATCTGCGCTGTCACTTGTATTCAGTCATGGGTGAGATTCATCCTGTGTTCATTTTGACGTGAGCTGCGTTTCACCTTTGGTATTTGCAATCGGATTGAATGCCGTTCAATAATCTAGTCAGTAATCTGGATCGTAGGTTTTTGTGGACGGACTCGCTGAGCTGCGAGCACAGAAAGATCGGGTTAGAGGTCCCCGCCAGTAAAATTCAGCATTTGATATCAAATGAATAGAACCTGACATTCTGTGTGTCTAGAAAATGGAGGAGCGAACTTGCTGTCAATCATGTCAATTGCTACAAATGCCTTCTATGAGATTTTTTTGACAGTTTCCTGTGAAGCTGCTTTATTGACGCATCCTTTTCTTTGGTTGACTGTGGTACCGTGCACTCGCACTCGCACGTTGGCTGTCTGTGTGAACGTTCCTGGGTGCAAATTGTCTGCCAAGTTCGCTTACAAATTACACAGTCATAGAATCATAGAATTATACAGCACAGAAGGAAGTCATTCGGTCCATCATGCCTGTGCCGGCTCTTTGAAAAGAGCTATCCAAATCAATCCCACTCCCCCGCTCTCTCCCCATAATCCTGCAAACTTGTCCTCCCAAATAATTATCTACTTCTCTCTTAAAAGTTGTTATTGAATCGGCTTCCACCAGCCTTTTAGTCAATGCATTCCAGATCCAAACAACTCGCTGTGTGAAAACATTTCTCCTCTTTCTTTTGACAACTTTTTCAAATCGGTGTCCTCGGGTTACTGAGTGGGAATAGTTTCTCCTTATTCAACCTATCGAATCCCCTCATAATTTTGAAAACTTCTATTTAGTCTCCTCTTAATCTTCTCTGCTCAGAGGAGAATAATCCGAGCTTCTGTAGCCTCTCCTGATAACTGAAGTCCCTCACCATTCTGGTAAATCTCATTTGACCCTCCAATGCCTTGACATCTTTCCTAAATTGTGGGGTCCAGAACTGAACCCAGTCTCTTGCTGAGGCCTAACCAGTGTTTATAAAGGTTCAATCATAACTTCCCGACTTTTGTATTCTATGTCCCTATTTATAAAGCTAGTTTTCTGTATGCCTTTTTAACAGCTTTATCTACCTGTCCTGCCACCTTCAAACATTTACTGTATCAGTCACTACACTTTATAGTAAATCCTGAGATGTCCTCCCCGTGTGGAAAGTAGTATTATTATTGGTGGTGCTGCCCAAGTTCTATTGGAAACTCCACAAATGGACTTTGCACTTTGTCTTACTTTCTGGCCCATTAATGTACCCAGGAGGAGAAGAGTTTATTTTAGAATTTCTCAATTGAAATGGCCTTGCTGACCTCTTATTAGCTGAACAAATGAGCCTTTCAAGTAGTTTTACTGCCGACCCTCAAGCACCAAAATAGAGAGGGGAGCCTCCAAGGAAGAGAACGGGTTTGCAAAAGGTCTTAAAGTAGAAGAGACTTGGTTACTTTATGTAGAACAGAAAAAAAATAAAGAACTGAGGATAAATCATAGTATTTCTTTATTGCAGAAGAATGCCATTCAGCCCATCGTGTTTGTGCCAGCTTCTGGATAAGAGACCAGCTGTTTCCCCATTTCCCTTTAAGCATTTCCTTTTCCAGATGTTTACCTAGTTCTCGCTTAAAAGATGTAATGGATTCCTGGCGAAAGAAAATGAAGTGGACAAGGAATAAAGCAGAGGCCAACTTGTTTTCTTTTTAATTAATACGGTAATATAGGTATTCAGTTATCTGTATGCTTGGGTTGATACTACAGTACTAAATGTCCTCAAGAATAGTTGTCGACAATAAGAGAACCAATCGATCGAAATACTATCAGACAATGCAACCGGAGGGAGAAAAATAACAGCTGAGATGCAATGTCTAGGACCAAGGTCTAGAAAGAAAAGATAACAGTAAGTGATTGACAACCCTTCAATCTACTACAAATGCTGAATTAAATTAATCAGTTTCTCCACGACAGGGCCAGAGCAAACACACCGGTGTAACTGTGTGGGAAACACATGAGACAACTGATTTTGTAGCGGGCGGGCACACACAAATGTTTTTTGCATTCTATTGTTCTTTCAAGCCAAGAGCAGAATGAAATCTCGGGCAATAAACACAAGATATTTGGTTTAGAAAAATGAAAATACCGCAGTCTTATGCTTTCAAAGTCAAAGCTGTTGCTTGAAGCTGTAATATGTTCAGCTGATGGGTTTATAACTGCAGTCTAACAGCGGCTTGCATTTATGTAGCACTCTTCAAGTAGGATAATGCGTTCGCTGCGAGAAGGGTAGGTCAGAGAGGTAGGGAGATGGTAGGGAATCATTACTTAGAGCTTCAGTATAAAAGATGATATCAGAGAGCATCTCACAGACTAAACCGGCCATTCAGAAGCAGAACGGGAATCGAAAAGCAAAGTACTGTACAGCATTCCGAGTTCTGTTTTGCCAATTGTACGAAATAATTACACTTTCGAACGGTAAGAAGTTGCTGCAAGTCTGACAGCGACAGAAGACTCGAG